AAGAAGATTTTCAAAATAATAATGCATTTTCACTATATGATCTATATAGCCCTGCCCTAGCACCAGAACCCCTGACCCTGGGGCCATGAATTTCACAATTTTGGTAGAGGGCTCAATGCTTATTACAATCATGCCAACAGTTTGACTGCTTGATGTCCAGGAGTAAAGAAGAAGATTTTTAAAGATTGCATTAATTTTGGTGGTTTTAGCCCCACCCCTCAGCCCCTGGGGGGGGGGGGGGGGCAGGGACCATGAAATTCAAAATCTTTGTTCCCCTTCACCCATAGATGCTTTATGCCAAATTTGGTTGAAATTGGTTAAGCGGTTTCAGAGAAGAAGCTAAAAATGTTCAAATGTTAACGTACGTCGCACGACGACGGACGAAAACGAATAGCAATAGGTCACCTGAGTTACTCAGGTGACCTAATAAAACAATAAAATTCGCAGAAGAGTCATGATTTGCACAAAATTCAATCTACACTTCATGAGGATACTTGCATAATTAATTTCACTTTGGTTCAGAGGTTTTTATTGACATTGTTCCCCTTTTTAGCTAAGCCGAGCCGAAGGCACAAGTGAGCTTTTCTGATTGAAATTTGTCCGTTGTCTGTCGTCGTTGTCGTAAACTTTTCACATTTTCATCTTCTTCTCAAGAACCACTGGGCTAATTTCAACCAAACTTGCCACAAAGTATCCTTGGGTAAAGGGGATTCAAGTTTGTTCAAATGAAGGGCCACACCTTCTTCCAAGGGGAGATAATCATGAATTCATGAAAAATTAATAGCATCATTTAAAAATCTTCTTCTCAAAAACCACTGTGCTTGAAAATATGAAACTTATATGGAAGCATCCTCAGGTAGTGTAGATTCAAGTTTGTTCAAATCATGACCCCTGGGGGTAGGGTGGGGCCACAATCGGGGATCAAAGTTTTACATAGGATTACATTGGAAAAATCTTTAAAAATTTTCTCAAGAACAGCAAAGCCATGATGGGTCATATTTATATGGAAGCATCCTCAGGTAGTGTAGATTCAAGTTTGTTCAAATCATGACCCCCAGGGGTAGGGTGGGGCCACAATGGTTGATCAAAGTTTTGCATAGGAATATATAGGGAACATCTTTAAAAATCTTCTTCTCAAGAACAGCAAAGCCATGATTAGTCATATTTAAATGGAAGCATCATCAGGTAATGTAGATTCAAATTTGTACAAATCATGACCCCCCCCCCCCTTCAAACCAGTTTTATATTTAAACTTTTCAAGACTGATTTCTGCTTTTTCATAGCCAGAGTGCTCAGGTGAGCGATGTGGCCCCTGGGCCTCTTGTTTATGTTCTTGTGTAAAACTTTGATCCCTACCTCCACCCCCTCTCCTGCCCCTTTCCAGTCTTAGTAGCCATGATTTGAAGAAAATTTCATTGTTTTCAGATTTATAGATTCTTAGGATTTTCAAATGATCTGCCCTGTCCTATTTTCTCTATTTAATGGTTATCCTCCACTGGACATACAGAAGGAGTTGAGAATGAACAACTCGCAGACAACTTATTAACACATGAAAAACTTTGATTAAAAAATCTCAAATGAGCCTATTGTTATGGTGAGCTAAATATTAAAACATAGGTAATCAAAGATTTTATAGCTCACTTCAAAAAAGGAATATCTTTAAGTAAGGTGAAATCCCACATTAAACAAATAATTTAGTAGTGTGTGTCCCTGATGCAACATTCATGCAAGTTTGGTCGAGGTAGGGCTTGAAATTACACTTGAATAAACCTTCTTCAAAAACTTTAACCTGGTCTCTCATCTGGAAAATAAAGGTCAAATCCAGCATCCGATGCCAATCCAAAACAATTCTGGTAGACTAAGTGTACATCCCTTAATGCATCTTCCCTATAAGTTTGGTTCAAAGTTATTGTATGATTGATTAGGTTCAAGTTTTTGGAGCAGGTCCATTACTTTAAGGAATATATAGGTCAGATCCTGTATCCTAAGTAAGTCTGGTAGCATCCTTAGTTAGATATCATCTATGCAAGTTTGGTCAACATAGAGCTGATACTTACTTAAGAATTAACCTGCTCCAAAACATTAACCTGGTCATTCATCCAGAAAATGAAGGTCAGATCCAGCATTTGAAGCAAGCCTAGTAGTGTGCATCCTTAGATGTATCATCCATGCAAGTTTCATAAATAAAGGGCTTATAGTTACAGTTGAACTTTGGTATCTCAAACACCGATATCTCAAATACTATGGATATGTTAAAGTGATTTGGAAGTCCCAATCACATATTCCTTTAGTACAATATGATACAATAAATATTCATACAAAATGGTGGCATGTTTACATTCGCGATGAAAAGTTCTCTGTTTTAGCTAAAATAAAAGTTGGTTAAAAATAGTTATGGAATTTCAATTGTTATTTTTAACATAGTATAGTCATGTGACATCGAAAGGTCATGTGATTTTGTCGTCTGCTGTATTTCCAGAAATCTACAAGTTTTAAAGAGAATGGGTAGAAAGGGGGAAGGAATTGTTTAATGATGTTAAAAAAGCTGTGTGGAGACTCTTAGAACAAGGAAAGTCCATTCAAAAAGTGTCAGAATTATTAGGAATTCCTTTTACTACTGTTTCAAGTGTAAAAAAAACGTACTGAGAAGCATGGTTCGGTAGAAAACAACAAGATGGCCTCCGAAAGTAACAGCTCGTGATTACCGCAGATTAGAAAGGTTGGTGAAAACAACAATTTGTTAGATATTACGAACAAATTTAATGAAAATGTTGATAATCATGTTGCTAAGCGTACGGTACAACTCCCTGGGTACTCAAGACATGTGTCTACAGTGGCTGCAACGTTATTGTTGACAACTTACACGAACAATTACGTTACAAGAACGATTCCACACGATTAACGCACGATAAAATCTGTTGCACGAACGATCCTTCACGCACACGATTCTACACGTTACACGATCTTACACGATTGCTAACGCAAACGCACGATTCTTCACGCAAAATAGTTCAAATTCTTTAGGAATGGATATTTTCAAAAAGAAAGAAGGCTTTATACTTATTTTAGATTTCAAATAATTCTTGATATTATCTTATCGACTTTGAAAAATGAAAAAAAAAAATAGAAATGGATTTTTCTGGAACTAAATACATGTAGACTTATTAATTATTTTAGATTACAAGTAATTATTTACGTAATTCTCCGACTTGAGAAAACTGATTTTTCCCCTTCTATCAGAAGATGTACATGAAGGTGGACCGTGAGTTTTGATTGAATTGGATTTCATACGATGCGGAAAGGGATAAGTTTGAAAAAAAGAATGGCATGAAAATGAATTAAATTATCTAAAATCTAAAATCAACAATTATTTTACAAATCATTTATTTTCAGAAATTATAAAAATAATTAAAAGTAAGCTCCAGAGATAAACACTGATAAACGAAACCGCGACAATCATGTCGTGTACATGTACATTCGCCGATTAAATATTTATGTAAGCATTGAGAATTGTTTATTTATTTATTTATTTGTAAAAATATCTGTTTTTGATTTTTTTTATTTTAAAAATATCTTGACCATAATTAACAGTAAACATAATTAACATCAGAGAAAAAATCCTTAGACATCTAAGTACGGTTTATCACAAAAAATCACGCTATCTGACGAGAACACAATATTGTACGACTTACTATATTGCTTATTTCCAAGCGATAATTAGTTCGTTCTGCTTTCAATTATGTAAATCGCGCTTCATTTATTTTATTTGGATTGAAAAAAAAAACGGACAAGAGAAATGCTTGTATAACCAATAACATTCCGATAAAAACTTACAAAACGAAATTTACACATTTCTTAACGCACGATCACGCACGATTAAAACCGCAAACGATTGAGTCTGATACACGCACGACCTCGCACGTTACACGAACGATCACGCACGTTACATGAACGATTCTACACGATTGGTTTGTCAACAATAACGTTGCAGCCACTGTAGGAAAAAAAGTTGTTGTAAAAGAGGGTAACAGAAAAAAACGATTGTCAAGGTGCAGAGAAATAAGACAACTAACAGTTGATAATTACTGAAGTAAAGTGATTTTTTTCTGATGTATCTAAAACCATGATTGGACAAAATTCCCGTGTAGGCCTATACGTGGACGAGGGATGGAGGCCTTATCTAATGATACCACGTCAATGTAGACCATGTTCTGAAGTGATGATCTGGTGATGTGTAACATGGGACGGTGTGGGAACTATAATGTCTATAAATGGCAATATTAATGCTGAGAAGTATCAGGAGATATTTGATGAGAACTTATAGTAGGGATGACCTCTTCCATGAGATTCAGGACGTCTGGACTGGGATCACAACAGACTATGTCAGAAGCCTCGATTCCTCGCAGATTACTCAGTGTAATTAGATTAAAAGGACATTTGACAAAGTATCAGGTAAGTTTAAATTGTTTCATTATTTTTGAAAACGTCTTATGTACGTTTTTAGACTGACCTACTTTCATTGCAAATGTAAACACGCTGCCATTTTATATGAATATTTATTGCATCATACTGTATTTTACTCTTGATATCTCAAATTCTCAGATATCTTGAAGTTTTTTCTTGGTCCCATGGAGTTCAAGAAAATGATGTTTAACTGTACTTGGAAAAGAGATGTGCTCCAAAAACTTTAACCTGCTCCAAAAACATTAACCTGGCCATTCTTTAGCTGAAATTGCAGCATCTGAAACCTATGAAACATACTAGAAGCATCTATGCATCTCTGATTAATAAAGGGTATATAAGTACTTGAAAAGAAATTTGCTCCAAAAACTTGACACTGGCGCCAACTCCAAGGGTATGACATAGGCTCCCCCCAACTTTGTTGAGGTGAGCTAAAAGTGAATGAAAGAATTACTGTGCAAAACTGATTTTGATCATTATACATTTTGTATATAAGTACTGTGCAATGAAACCACATCTTGAACTGATGAAAACATTACCTCTGTTAACACTGTGCATTCATATGATGGCTGGTACTTCTCCTACAATTTTTTTTTAAAGATTAAATTTAATAATTACAATTTACTGAATCAGATGTTATACAGCATGGAAATTACATATGATAAATTCAAAATGCAGATCTTTAGAAAAAGATAACCTTCTCAACTTCTGTTCTTTTCTCCATTTTTTCTCTGTCTGTCTTGTGTTTTCTGTCTGCTCCTTTGGGCTAAATAGAAATGTACCAATTTCTGTTGCAGCATTAATAACAAGGGGGAAGCTGTCAATGTGACAGCAAACTGGGTTTTCTTTTGTACTACATACCAATAACAAACTGTACTGGTAAATCTTTCTAGTGTGAAATACCAACAAAATCAATGTACCCTATTAGCATATCTTGCATAGAAATGACTAAATGCCACAAATGGTATTTTCCCCATAAATGATCAAAATCTAAGTACCATGTACATCTCTAATTTATGTACAATTGATCTGCAAAATAAAAACTTCTTATCTTGAAAACTGTAGGAGACATTTTTACTATATACAGAATATTGCCCCAGACTGTGGCCTGTACCCCTCAAGCAGTACATAGACATAAATTTCACTGATTATTTTTTTTTAGACCATCTTGTTTGTTATTGCTATGTAGGCAGTATGCCCTGTAGATGCTTACTAGTAATGAGGACTTTGAAATACTGCATACTTTTTGCCATTTTGGTAGAACCCCCAGTCATTGTGTGTGTGTGGGTGTATGTGTGTGTGTGTGTGGGGGGGGGGGAGGTGTTTGAGGGTTAGTATTGAAATTCACATTCACCCATTGAAGCTGTACACAAATTTTGGTTGAAATTGGCATCATAGTTTCATAGGAGAAGTTAAAAATAGGGATGGGTATTGCAAAAAATTTTGTATCAAGATATATCACGATTTTTTCCAAAAATATCACGATATAAATATCATGATATTTTTACATGCCATTTTTACTATGATTTCAAATGAATTTCTCTAATTTTTCTAACAAATATATTGTGAAAACATAACTTCTCTTTTTCCATTTTTATTCAAAGAATAATTAAAGCATTTTGGATGCTAGGATGCTGTTGTTTTACTGTTTTAAGAACATTTTTTTTTTACAATACTGGCAATTGTATTTTAAAAAGTTTGAATCCCCCCTCCTGGAATTTATCATTACATACTAGGGACCAGTAATTTATTCTCCATATCACAATATGCATCGCTCAAAGAAAAATCATATAACGGTATACTGATAAAATCGCACATCCCTAGTTGAAAATGTCCAAAAGATAATGAACAATGGAAGACTGATGACAATGGACAACCAGTGACAACAATAGGGTAACCTGAATAACTCAGGTATACTAACAACAGGTCGTTGAAGTAAATGAAAGAAATATATCACAATATTTATTCAGTGAAGAATGTTGTTTAACCTTAAAGACTTTGATTTGACAAGAGCCACAGTGAACCAGCTTGCTTTCATTTTCTCCATGGTTGTAGGTCTCGATCTGTAGACGGAAAGGTACACCTTTTTCTCCACCATGTTTCTTGGCTGTAAACTCTGTACTGATACAGTTAACTCTAATGTAGACACCTGATTCCTTGGTTGGATCCCAAACAAATTCAGCTCCATTTAGACGTTCTCTGTCAATGTTGACATCAATCAATCCATATGACAATGGAACATCTAACAAATACAAAAAAAAAATGAAAAAAAAACACAAACATGTGAGCAATTTAGAACTGATTCTCTAAGTTCCTAGATATTTCTTCTTATTTAAATCCAAGTACTTTTTCTTTGTTTATAATTAGGCCTAAAAAATTAAGAACTTGGTTCTCAGGACCACCCGCATCTCATTTAACAATTCCCATTACCTATTTTTATCCTCAAATGAATAAAATGAAATTTTTCTCATGCGCTCCTATGGTGCCTAAAAAAAAGTCATGAATCCCCGACCACATTTTGACCACAGTTTAGATGCACCCTTGAATAAAACGTTTGACAAACATCAAGATGATCCAGACTTTTGGCCTAGTTTAAAATCGCATATATGGCCATCGAGTTAACAGGTTAAGGCGTCAAGATTAAAGTTGGTCATGATGGCAATGATTTCAGTGCAAATTCATAAGGGAATGACTGCAATACTTTCATGGCACATAGCAGAGGTTTCTGAAGCATGTTGCATCCTAGAACTCAATAACGCTATCAAAGACAGCTCCCTCAACCTCGTGACTTGGACGTTTCTGAGAAAGCTTCAACAAAAGGATGTGCCAAACGGCCCCTGGTAAAGTGACAAAAAATTAAATATCCAAATTTTACTCTAATTTTTGCATGCTCTTAATCACTGATATGTGTACCCCCATGGAATACTACTTTTACCGCAAAAAAGAAACATAATTTGGAAGATATTTATCTTTATCTTGAGTAGGGGTACCATGTTTACATCCAATTCTCATTGAATTCTGGCCCCGCCCCACTCTTTGAAACCCTTAAAATATACAAGCACAAGTAGGTACATTTTTCTCCTTTGGCTGGTCACTGTATTTTATTGAAATCTACCTTTATGTGCAAGGAGAAAATTGTACCTAACTGTGCTCAAATATTGTGTTTAAAACATTGTAAAATCTAGTTAGCCTTCCCCATTATGAACAGATCAACAAAACTATTTTTTTCTGACATAAGAATAAATTCATATACTAATCGAGGCACTGGCAATACTTTCTAACTGACCAATCAGCTAAACGAGTTGCATTACGAGTGAGTACTACAAAAATACTAAGGAAATTTTTTGCTTGGAAAAAAGGCTTTTTTTTTACCTACTTTCCCATAAACAATTTTTATGCATTTGAGTCACAGATTAGACACGGATCTACAATTTCCCAGCTCACAGTTACAAACAATTGGTTTATAAATATACATAGTTTAAAGTTTTGTAAAGTCGGCAATTCGCTAGGTCTACATGTATTCCCGAGTATCAGTGAATACAAGTTTCATGTGCATTTCTTGACCCAAAACAGTAAACGCTGAGGTTCCATGCATATTATCATGTATAAATAGCCTTAAAAGTTTGAAATGTAGTAGAGATAATGTGTAAATTTACCTAAACCACGTGTCTGTGATAAAATGTAAAAATGTAGTAAACCAGCATGTTTTGTCATTCAGTCATCAGATTGGACAATTGTTCTCGGTAAGCGACTATGTGCGAAATAATAACAATAGCCATATAAGGTAGATTCCTCGGACATGCATATCCCTCTATTGTACTAAGACCTGCCTATTCTCTTTTCATAAAAGAATATATTGTCACAAGACTGATAAAATTGACAGTGCATAAAAAAATCACAAGTGTTTTTTATAGTGCTGAAACACTATTAGATTAGTTGTGATACGTAAGCAATTGACCAGATGCATCACTAAGAGTGTTGGGTTCTGTAAGTTTAACTCATTTGGTTGTTAGGATGTTGTCATTTCATTACACGTATCATCGGAATGTAGAAAATGCAAGAGAAAGAAGCAGGAAATAAATTATCTTGATTTCTACACTCAGTGTTGAAACATTGTTGATTATAAAATGCTACCGTAGTTTTGAAATTAAAAAAAATCAAAAATCTGTTTTTTAGGAGATAAAAAAAGGGGAAAAAAGCCTCCCTCCCACATTTTTTTTGAGAAAACTGACCTGAGAACCAAGTTATTAATTTTTTTTAGACCTTATCATTCAAATGCATATATACATGTAGAGTAAATGCTGTAAGTCTGAAGTACAGAAGAGAAATGGCTGACATAACAAGAGGCCCATGGGCCACATCACTCACCTGAGCACATTGGCTAGGCAAAGGCACAAATCAATTCAGTATTGAAAAGATTACCGGGGAGGGGGGGCACATATTGTCGTCCATCGGTACATAATGTCGCCGGCGACAATATGTACCGAGACAAGCCTTATTTTCCTCCACAAAATGTACAGTTAAACACCAGCACATATTGATGTCGGCGACAATATGTACAGTCAAGTTCGGCATATATTGTCGTCGGTACATTGTTTTGACGAATATTTACTTGAAAATGGAAAGAGAGATTGACAAACACACATGCACGTACTGAGGGAGACAGACAGCATTACTCGCAATACTGTAGGGAGAAAAATTTTTGGTCAGAAAATTGTGTCCAGGATTGATGTACTTCACTATGATATGTCAAGGATACCGTAATTCTTGAGATACATGTATCTGAAAAATCAGCCTATTCTTCTTTTCCCTGTACTATATACTTGGAGGTTGAATACATGTATTATTTTTTGTTCAGTAGTTATGATTATTTTGAAATCATTTTTGCATTATTCTTATATACAACCATGTGCCCTAGGGAAGCCCATTTAGGACCTATCAAAAAACATTTTTAAATTCCATTTAACGAATTGTCAAATTTGCTATAACGAATATAATTCATTATAACAATTTCTTTAAATTCTTTATAACAAATTAATCTGTTATAACAAATTTGTTGAATTCATTAAAACAAATTCAAAAAAAAAAAATATACCAATTTGAATTCGTTTAAATGAATTCTAAACTTTGTTATAACAAATTAAATTTGTTTAAACAAATTCTTGAATTTGTTATAATGAATTAAATTTGTTTAATCAAATTCAACAATCAGGGCCTGTAGAAAAATATATATGAATTCGATATAACGATTTGTTGAATTCGTTTTAACGAATTTAATTTGTTAGAACAAATTAAAGAATTCGTTTATGCCGATATAATTGGTGTTGGGATTGATATTTTTAGATCACATGAACTGGAAATTCAAGTGAGCTTTTCTGCTCACATTTTGTCTGTAAGCTTTTCACAATTTCAGATTCTTCTCAAGATATACCGAGTCAATTTCAACCAATCTTGCCACAAAAGGGGATTCAAGATTGTTCAATTGAAGGGCCAAGCCCTCTTTCAAGGGCAGTAGATAATAATTAGTGATAATTTAGTGACATCTTTTAAAAATCTTCTCAAGAACCACTGTGTCAGAAAACTTGAAACTTATGTGAAAGCTTCATTATGAAGTGTAGATTCAGTTTTAATCAAATCATGTACATCGGGGGAATGGTGCGGCTATAAGAGGTTTTTCAGAGAATATTTAGAAAAAAATCTTTCAAAATTTTTTTTTTTCAAGAACTACTGGGTCAGAAGAGATGATACTTATCTGAAAACTTCATTGCATAGCGTACGTTCAGTTTTGTTGTGCTAGGTGGCATGAAAAAGATCCATCACTGCTCCATGATCCTGAGTGCCAAGTATAGGCACCATTCTGAAATTTCTGGATCCACCACTGAGAAACAGAAGTAAGCCCTTGATTAGTGATGTTTATATGGAAGCATCCTCAGGTAGCGCAGACTCAAATATGTCTAAATCAAACTGAGCCTAGGATGGGGCCACAATGGGCGATCAAAGTTTTACATAGGAATATATGGAAAAATTTAAAAATCTTTAAAAATTATCTTCTCAAAAACAGAAAAGCAATGATTAGTCATATTTATATGGAGCAATGCCGTGCCAACAATATGCGCAGTGAGGGTACGTACACATTGTCGCCGGCGACAATATGAACAGGGCAACAAAATGCACTGTCACAATCACGCTGCATGAAATAGAATACGAGACATGTCAGTGTGATTCACACACCAATTACATTTACAAAACTACCAAAAAACAACAAAAGAAATATTTAAGTAACAATATCTGTGGGGTGACAATATGTACAGTGAGGGTGAGGCACATAATGTCGCCAGCGACAATATGTACACGTGTAACTTTCAGCCAGCGACAATATGTACCGATGGAAAACAATATGTGCAGTGAGGGTAGGTACATATTGTCGCCTACGACAATATGTACAAAACGACAATATGTACCGTCACATGCTGCAATGTCAATATAACAAAGGCTTTGTTGTACTTTTTTAAAAGAATTTTCCCATATATTCCTTTGTAAAAATTTGATCCCGAATTGTGGCTCCTCCCTATCCCAGGGGTCATCATTTGAACAAACTTGAATCTACATTACCTGAGGATGCTTCCGTATCAGTAAGACTAAACATAGCTTTTCTGTTCTTGAGAAGAAATTTTTTTTTCTATATGTCCTTATGTAAAACTTTCGATCCCCCATTGGACCCCACCCTACCCACGGGGGTCATCATTTGAACAAAATTGAATCTACACTACCTTAGGAAGCTTCCATATCAAAATAACTAATCATGGCTTTGCTGTTCCTGAGAAGAAGATATTTTCCTATATATTTCTATGTAAGACTTTGATCCTCCATTGTGGCCCCACCCTACCCCTGGGGTCATGATTTGAATAAATTTGAATCTACACTACCTGAGGATGCTTCCATATAAATATGACCAATCAAAGCTTTGTTGTTCTTGAGAAGAAGATTTTTAACGATTTTTTCCTTTATATTTCTATGTAAAACTTTGATCATCCATTGTTGCCCCACCCTATCCCCGGGGGTCATGATTTGAACAAACTTGAATCTACACTATCCGAGGATGCTTCCATATAAATATGACCCATCATGGCTTTGCTGTTCTTAAGAAAAAGATTTTTAAAAAATTTTCCTAGATATTCCTATGTAAAACTTTGATCCTCCATTGTGGCCCCGCCCTACCCCCGGGGGTCATGATTTGAAAAA